TTTATGTGCTGCTCCTTTCCAATACCCTTTTCTCCTCTTTGCAAGATCTTTCTGTCTTCCACTGCTTTCTCTGTCCTCTTTTTTTCCTCCTGTAATTCCTTGTTAGGTGAGCTCATCCATTTCTGTAAATTCAGGTATTTTCTGTAGGGTTTTGATTCTCACATTTGTTTATGCAGCCTGAAAGACTCGCCTGAGCTTCTGTTTCTTTTATACCAAGCCATTCAGTATTTCTAGTTGGATATTTTATAGGGACTCAGAGTGTGCCCCCTTCCCCCAAGAGCCCTGTTGGTTCTCTTGTCCCCAAATCTGTTTCTTTCTAAACTTTCCTCATTTCAGTAAACGGCGCCACAAACAACTGAGGCTCAGGCCCAGATTCCTTCCATGTGCTTAGAAATCCTACTTGATGCCTCCTTGCACCGTTCCTTTCTCATCTGTCAGTGAATTCTCTTGATTCTGCCTCCGAGATAGGCCCCCATTTGCCTTCTTGCTTTTGCCATCGCAACTTTCCATGTTCTTTCACATATTCCTACTTACACCCGTGCGTCAGCTTCCAACTGGTTTTCTTGCCTTTACATTTTCCCCATTTGTCTTTACTTTTGCCCCATTTGTCTTTACTTTTGTCCCATCCGTAGTCTTCCTGGCACTTCTAGAATGGGCTTTCCAAAGTAGCAGTGAGCTGTTTGAAACCCAATGGTGAGTTCTTGTAATTTTATAATAACAGTGTGAAGTTCTTAACTTGCCAAATACTCTGGTCGCTGCCTGCCTCTCCGACCTTTCTGTCCCCACTTTCCCAGTGTCCAGTCCAGCTACACTGGTCTCTCTGGTCCTAGAGCATGACAAGTTCACTTTTACTTCGTGGCCTCTATACTTGCAGGATTTTCTTCTTAAAATGCTCTTTCTTCTGGTCTTTGCATGGTGTTTTATTACTTGAGTCTCAACTCTTCTGACCTAATTATTCTTTGTCCATTAATGTCTCTTATCATTTTAATAGCATTGACCAGTACCTGAAATTACCTTGTTTTTCTGTTGTTTGTTTTCATCAGACTTCCTCCTCAAGACCTAAACTCCTTGAGGGTATAAACTCTTCTCACAGCCATCTCCCCTGTGCCTGGAGGAGAGCCTGGCGTATAGTAAATCCTCATTGTGTTACGGTAGTTTACTGACTGATTTTTGCTTGTAGATAGTGTGTTTTGACAATAATAAGTTAAGATATACTAACAGAAAACTGAGTTTGGAAATAATTGGTTAAGAAACTCTTGTGTTCATTGGAAAGGACATTCTCTTTTGAGGGGTGGTCAGAAAGTTGGGTAATTTTATAGGCATTTTGGTATATTCATTGGATCCCTGTTGATGGCAGTTAGATCACCAAGCATAGTATTCAGTTTGTTTTGAAAGTCTGTACGTTCCAACATTGACAGCATTTCAGACAGAGTAGAATAATTGGCCTTACTTACTGCTGGAGTTCTCCTCGAGAGGGCTTTGTTGTGGTATGTATTGTATTGTAAGCGTTCTCTGTACTGTGAGAGGTTGCTGGGTTGAGTAGAAAAATGTGCCAGGATACAAAGCTGGCATCTGGCACAGATAGTTCCGTTTTTAGGTTTTTGCTGTTTTTTTTTTTTTAACTTTAATTTTTAAAAATATTTATTTATTTTGGAGAGAGAGAGAGAGAGCGAGCGAGCACACATACATAGGCAGCACATGCAGAGAGAGGAGCAGAGGGAGAGAGAGCATCTCAAGCAGGCTCCATGCTGAGCTCAGGAATCTCAAGCAGACTCGGAGCTGAGTGTGGAGCCTGACATGGGGCTTGATCTCATGACCCTGAGATCATGAGCTGAAACCAAGAGTTGGACACGTAACTGACTGACCCATCCAGGCACCCCTATTTGTTTATTTTAAGTAACTGCCTAGTCTTTATTTATTTAATTTTTATCCTGTTTTTGGTCAGACATTCATGACCCTTCCTTATCTGTGCCACACGCTGCTCATAGTTCAGCGTCATCTTTCACAGTTCAGCGTTCACTCAGTGCATGTTTAATGGATACCTACCAGGTGCCGGGGTTGTACATAGTAAGTGCTGGGCGTATAGCTGTGAGCAAGATAAAGTCTCAGCCCTAAGTATTTATTAAATAAACTGGCAACTTTGAAGCTTATTCCTGAAGATTAGCATTGCCTGCAGAGCTTTAACAGATGGTGGAAGTGCCGTATGCGTGCGGTCCCACGTTAGCTCTCACCCTTCTCTCTTCTTGAACCTACTTGTGCTCGTTTGTCGTCCCAGGATGTCTGAATGCTTGTTCTGTGCCCATCACTGTGCTAGGCCCTGTACATTCAGAGAGCAGCAGATAAAAATGTTGTCTTCAGCGTCTCTTAAATAGCCTGGAAAAGGGGCACCTGGGTGTCTCAGTGGGTTAAGCCTCTGCCTTCAGCTCAGGTCATGATCCCAGGGTCCTGGGATCGATCCCCGCATCGGGCTCTCTGCTCAGCGGTGAGCCTGCTTCCTCCTCTCTCTCTGCCTGCCTCTCTGCCTACTTGTGATCTCTCTCTCTCTCTGTCAAAAAAAAAAAAAAAAAAAAAAAAAAAGCCTGGAAAAATGAGTTATTATAGTACAGAGTGTAACGTGCTAGCACAGTCTATGCCCAGTCTGCCGTGGGAGTGCAGAGAAGAGGCAGCTGCAGACCTCAGGCTCCAGCTGAAGGATGAGGAGGAGTGAGCCAGGTAGGTAGGAAACAAAGATACTCTAGCCGGATAGAGTAGTGTAGGCCTTAGGAATTTCGGGTGGTTTGGTGTGGCTGGACAGATGAATGTAGGGAGAAGTTAATATTGACGTGGGGGAGGTGGTTGGAATCTGGAAAGTCCTCAAACACCACTGGAAATCATTAGAAGATTGAGATTAGAGGCATGTCTTCAGGTGCCATTGGGGAGAATGATTGGAAGGGAACTAGGGGAGGGACGTAAGTACCCATCATTTCTGAGTCTGAGCAGGGAAGTGACATGGCCACATTTCTCAAGGAAAGGATCACTCTGGCTGTTGGGAGGGCAAATAGACCCTGAGGTGTGACTGGGGGATAGGAATGGGAGGAGTGAGACAGGTTAGGAGGGATAAATAGTAATAAGCACCTTCCCTTGCCTTTAGTCGATTCAAGAATTTTTTGTTCTTGTCTCTATAAAAATATTTCACGATTTTTATAATCAGATGTTTGGAAAAAAATTTTTGCCAGTTCACCAGAAGCTTTGATGTGCTCGCCCTCCGTTTGGCATCATGCTGTCACTTGGGGTTCCCTTCCCAGGAGGGGAGTGTGCGCGCAGACATCTGTTTGTCCTCCTGGTTCTTCATGTCGCTGATCTTAGCTTCTGCTCCTACATCGGCATACATGGAAGGTGCTGTGGTTTTCAGTTTTGGTTTTCCTTTCATTGTGGTCGTCCCATTTTAATGAATGGGTCCCGCTAGGCATCAAGGTAGTGGGAATAGCAGTGAACACGTGAGGCGTTTACAAAGGCCTTTCATAAACTGGATGGGTTGCGGTTATTGGTTGCTTTGCCGGTGAGTTTATCACAGTACGGCGGCCCCTCTCCCTTACCTGCGGTTTCAGGTGCTTGCGGTCAACCACAGTCCAGAAGCAGGTGACCCCCTCTACCCGCCCCCGTGCCATATTGCTAGAAGGTCAAGTAGCGGCGTGCCGCTGCATCCCAGCGCATGTGATCACATCCCTTCGTCTCCTCACATAGACGTCTTATCCTCTCATCACGCAGGCATTTACCATCTCGCAGCAGCACAGGAAGAGGGGTGAGCAGAGTACAATAAGGTATTTTTACAGAGAGGGAGAGAGAGAGAGACCTGTTCACATAAGTTTTTTTTTTACAGTATGTGGTTATAATTGTTCTATTTCATTATTACTGTTATTTTCTTACTGTGCCGAATTTGTAGATGAAACTTTGTCACAGATCTGTATGTGCAGGAAAACCTATAGCATCTTTAGGGTTCCCTGTTATCTGTGGTTTCTCGCATCCCCTGGGGGGTCTTGGAATGTGTCCCTGTGGATGCGGTAGGGTTTGGGGGGACACCACCTACAGAACAATATTTGATCAAATTGGTGAGAGGAATGAAAGTTTCACTTTGAGGTAAATCATTAACTTTTTCAGGGAAGACAAAGTATATATATATATATATTTTTTTTTTTTTTTTTTTTTTTTAAGATTTTATTTACTTATTTGACAGACAGAGATCACAAGTAGGCAGAGAGACAGAGAGAGAGATGGGGGAAGCAGGCTCCCTGCTGAGCAGAGAGCCCGATGCGGGGCTCGATCCCAGGACGCTGGGATCATGACCTGAGCCGAAAGCAGAGGCTTTAACCCACTGAGCCACCCAGGCGCCCTGACAAAGTATATTTTTAATAACTTCTTAGCCTGCAGAATATTTGGTATATGAAAATATCTGTGCCTGAAACATACTGACACAGTCCAAAAGGGAGCAATGAGTTTGCCTACTCAGAAGGAAGGTGAGGCCGGTTCCACTTCAGTTTTTGGAAGTTTTAAAATACTCTCAAGTATTGGGGCGCCTGGATGGCTCAGTGGGTTAAAGCCTCTGCCTTCGGCTCAGGTCATGATCTCGGGGTCCTAGATTGAGCCCCCCATCGGGCTCTCAGCTCAGTGGACAGTCTGCTTCTTCTTCTCCCTCTCCCTGCCTCTCTGCCTACTTGTGATCTCTGTCTGTCAAATAAACAAATAAAATCTTTGAAAATAAAATAAAATAAAATACTCTCAAGTATTGAATATAAGGGAAGAAAATGCTTATTTTCTTTGTATTTTAAATGAAAAGATACAGCGCAGGGTATACATTTTTATATTTCTCACACATATTTCCACATGCTGTCTAGCGGGCACCTTGTGTCAGGCAGTTATGGGTTTACGTGACTGCCACGGCCTCTGTCTGTCTCAGTGCTGTGCGAGTAAGCTGTGATTAAGTGTGATACTGAAATTTCTATTTTATATTTGTTTTTTAATAGAAAATGCATCAGACGCAGATTTATGGCTCCTGAATAGTTGTACTGTAAAAAACCCAGCTGAAGACCACTTTAGAAACTCAATTAAGTAAGTGGAAGTTGTTTTTTTTTTTCCTGTTTTTTTGTTTGTTTGTTTGTTTTTTAAATATAAGTGAAGATAAGTTCAGGAAATCCATTTAAAAAAAATTCCCTAATATAAATATTTAGTATGTATCAAAAAGAGTAGGAGTTGGACTTGTAAGATTATACTGTTTTGACTTTATCTGATAAAGAATGAAGCTTTACTGTGCTTTACTGTAAGAAGTTACATTTTCCTCATTAGGATTTTAGATTTATCCTTTGATGGATGTGAGATCACTGGTCATTCTTACATTTCACTGAATGAATTTGTTACCATTTACTCATCTTACTACTGATCAGAGTTTTCCCAGCGTTTTGCTTTTATGAACACTTCTGCTGTGAATATTTTGAACGTGTTTTCTGGTGTGGCTGTGCAAGAGTTATTTTAGTTTATGTACCTAAGAGTTGAATTATTGGGTCACAGGCGTGTGTGTGTTCAGACTTTAGTAATGTCAAGCTCCTTCTCATGGACGGGCGTGCCAGTGTTTACTCTGAGTGGTAAGGGATGTGTGGAGTTGTTCTGCTTTCTTGCCAACTCTTCATATTGTCGGATTTCTAAATTTTTGCAGTCTTGTGGTACAGGTGATATCTCACTTTGGTTTTAATTTGCATTTCCGTGACTCCTAATAATGTTGAGCATCTTTTCATATGTTTATTAGCCATTTGGACTTACTTTTTTTGTGAAATGGCTTTTTAAATATTTTTTCCTGTTGAGTTGTCTTTTATTATTTGTGGGATTATTATATGTATTCTGTCTACTAATCTTTCCGTGTTATACAGGCTGCAAACATCAATTGTGACTTGTCTTTTCACTTTCTTTGATGGTATCTTAGGATGAAGAGAAATTCTGGGTTAAAATTTATTTTTTTCTTTTGAGTCTGTGCTCTTACTATTTAAGAAGACTTTCTCTGTCTTGAAGTTAGGATATTCTCTAGTATTGTCATCTAAATGTCTCATGGTTTTTACTTTTTACATTTAAATTTGTAATCCATCTAGAGTTAATTTTTGTGGTGTGGTCCCAGGAATAAGGTCCAATTTTATTTTATTTCCATGTAATCACTGAATTTCTTCAGTATCTTTTCTTGTTTCTTAAAAATCCATTCTTTTCCCTTTTTCTGAGTATTGCCTACTCTGTCATGTTGAGTGTCCATAGATGTTTGGGTCTGTCCCTGGACTCTCTCTCTGGTTCCGTTGACCTCTTTCTTTATTCTGGCATGATTGTACACAGTCAGTGATTAATACAGATTCATACTAAGCCAAAATATTTGGTAGATATCAAGAGTATCTTGGCTTTTCTCGGTCCTTTGTCCTTCTATATAAATTTAATACCAGGTTTGAAGTTCAAGGAAAATACTCTTGTGATTCTGATTGTCATTAGAGAGACTATCTTGATGACTTTGAGGGGAGAATTGGCATCTTTCTACATTTTGAGTTTTCCAGTTCGTGAATAAGGTATTTAGGTCTCCTTTGACCCTCCAGAAGTGTGTAATTTCTTCCTCTAGCATCTGTACATGTTTCAGATCTTTTCTCCTAACAATGTAGGGACAGCTGCATTGTCCCAGTACCATTATTATTATTGTTATTTTTAAATCTGTCCATTCTCCTTTTACCTGTGCAGTAATTTTTTGTTGTTGTTACACTACTATACAAAGTAATTTAAAAGAAATACTCATTTTCTAGCTGTGTTTGCTCCCTTGGTCTCTTGGGATTGATTCCTGGAGCAGTGCGAGGATGCTTGGGTACGGGGATGAGCGTAGATCAGGAGCCTGTGGCTGGTGAGAGCTATGCTAGTGGAGGGGCTGTTGGCCTCATCTCCCGGAGAGGCACTTGGATTTGGAAGGAAGGAGTTGACTGAAGAAGGAAGAATTCTTTCTACTTTCAACATTGTCGAGTATGACTCCGAGACCCACGGCTTGAATGCAGTGGGGAGTGCCCAATGGGGAGTGCAGCTGGAGGGAAGAAGTGTTTTGGTTATTTGAAGCTACAGCTAAGTACTCCGATAAGGTGATGGTCCTGTTTGATCTTTATCGAGTCCTTCTGAGTGCTGGGTGCGTCCAAAATGCTGTCCTTAATTGGGCATCACCCAGCGCAATTCTCACAGTCTGTCCCTGACTTGTAGGTGACAGTTTTATTCTGCTTCTACAGACGAAGCGTCTCTTTTCCAGAGGAAGTTCTCTAAGGCTGGTCATAAAGGCGGGAGTGGGGACTTTTAGCCTAGGCAGCCCAGAGTCACTGTGTTTAACCATTTTATTGCTGTGCTTCCCAGGAAAAGCTGTCAGGTAAGCCGTTATCAGAGACCAGGACTGAGAGATAAGGATTTTATATTTTTTTGCATAGAAGTGATAGCTGAATGGGATGGCATCCTCAAGTCAGAAACTACAGAAGGAATGGAGAAGAGTTCTTACTGGCACTGTGGTGGGAAGCAGAAGAGGTGGAGGTGATGCAGGGTGGGCACAGGGGAGTTGAGTTGTGGTCAGAAGGAGGAGGAGGAGGAGGAGTAGTGACAGCGAGCCGCAAATGATGATTCCCAGATGCTGCTCGTTTCGAAAGAATGCTTTTCATTTCCTGAGAAGTCTGTCATGTCCCCGGGTTATCTACTCTTTAACTCTGAGAAGGGTAAATAAGATGTAAAGATATTTTGGTGCTGCTGATACCCCCTCAGTACAGAATCCAGAGAATTTAGTTTCTCGGATTCTCCATTTTGTAATGTAACTAATGGCTGTGCTGCTAGACTGTTTCTCAAAGTTTATTTAGAACCTCAAATATAGCTTGTGTCAGTGGGTTTTGTCATGTACATGAACCGGGCAGTGAGTGTGGTTCTCAGTCATGACCCGGTGTTCGAATGATTCGGTGAAGTGATCCCGTAAGAGAGCTGTCATTTGAACCACTGCAGAGCCCGTGCCGGCCAGCATAGGTTCCTTTAATGCGCTCTTCTGCTTGATTGAAAGGAAGTGTAAAAACAGGGTTACAGGTGATTAAATGTTTTCTTTTTTTTTTTAAATGGTTTTGAAGGCTTTTGATAATCACAACTAGTTCTTGTTAACAGAACACCTATGTTAGCATTTGCTTTGTTTCCAGAATAAGTATAATCTGCTAAAAGACACAATAACAATTAGCACTGAGAAAATGTCAAATTCAAGGGACATGTGTACATTTAGGGACGTTCAGTGATAGATTACCTTCTCTTGTCAAGTTTTTCCCTTCATTCCGATGCCTTCTCCCTGGTCATCAACATCCCGTAACAAAGGAAAATGAAGATGGATACTTTGTAAACTCTCACATACCTTACATTACACTGTATCCTTTCCCTTCAGCCTCCTCTCTCACCTGGGTTCTTTTTAACGTATTGAGAGACACTGAATTTCTAGGAGAGTCTGATGTAGTGAGACAACACTGAAATTCTAGGAGAGTCTGATGGACTATTTCCCTTCTCCTTGTTCTGCTTCACTTAATCCCTTAAGCTCAAATTTAGAGATTCACAAAGGTGAGCCTAGATCTTGCACAAATAATGATGGCGTCACTTTGCCACTCATTTCCTGAGTGTTGTCATTTCTGACCTTCTGCCTTTTTGTCTCTTCCAGTGTATGTCTGGTATTTAATAGTTTGTCTTTAATCACTTATCATCTCATTTTTCTCTCTGTTGAGCCACCAGCCAGTCAACCATCTCATTTTAACAGGAACGAAGAAAGATAACTTTAAGGGATTTACCCTCTTTTATGTGATTGATACCATTGGTATCAAGATTCTTGAATCATTGATCTCCTTGATTCAGATCCATGAATTGTGTAATCCTGACAAGGTAGCCATGGACTGATTCCTGCCCCCCCTTCCCCCGACCCCGGTGGTGGTGGTGGTCAAACTTCACGCTGTGTATTGTGGGGAGTTTTATTTAAGGCTGGCCAAAGAGAATATTGGCTTAAAATTACTTGGAAGTCTTCATTTTATAACTAGTGCTGATGATAAAATATTCCATCTTTAAATAATTTCCTAATCTAGGCAAAGTAGCGTACCGGATAGGAAGATGGCCGTCTGTATTTGTCTGTAGGCTGGGCTGCTCAGTGCTTTATACTGGCTCTCTTCTAGTTGATTGGATTATGAGGGTTTTTACAGTGTTTGTGTTACTAGTGTTCAGATTGATAAGGAGTAGGAGTGTTAGTAGTGAAAATGGAGTTGAGTGATTTTGCGGGGGGAGGGGCTGCCTTTTGAACTTTGAAATCTTAGATGCTGTTGCCTTCAGTAGTTTTGAAAAAAGTCGCTAATGAGCCCCATATTTTTTGATGGTGGCCTGTTGGATGTATACTCTTTCTTCTTGAGCCTTTGCTAGTTGCCCTGTCCTTGTTTTATTCATTACACCAATTTGATTTAGACAATATGGCCTTTAACTTGAGGGGTTCTTGAATAAATGAAAAAGATCAAAAGTTTCAAAAAAATAAAATTTGCTCTTAATGAGAGTATCAAATAAGAAAACTCCTTTGGTTAATGCTTTATAGAGATGTGGGATCTTTTCTGTGCCACCTAAAGGAGGTCATTCAGAGGCTGGTAAAAATAAACACATCTTGTGTGTTCTATATAAATGACCGAAAGAATAGCCAGCTTGCTTTGATCATGGACTGTCAACCTCTGTTTGACCTTGGGCATTATTAACCCAAATGGGCAGTGTGGTTTAGCCATGCTGATAGTGGGTAGACAAGAATCACTTAGTTCTTTGAGCCACCTTTGCTATAGAAATAAATGGTAATGTTAAAGGGATGGTTTAGACATCTGAGTGAAATTACTCGAAAGAACAGTTAGGATATAAGGAGGATATAAGGAGGAGTGAACAAAGAGGAAAAGTTTGTGTTGAGACAGAGTGTTGACTTTGAGTAACATCTTTTGGGTATAGGATGTTCTGTTGACAGAACATAGAAGTTAATGGACGGTCATTCTTATTATGAAATGAATTTTTTGCTTTACGTAGATTTAACCTAG